TGAGGAGAACATTTGAGTCAAATTAGGGTGGGAAATGGGGTTAGAAATATCCTGGGATTTCAGTACAAGGCAATGGGATACCATTATGTCAATTAGTTCCAATAGGTTGATATATCTATTAGTGTACTTATGTAGGTTATGCATATCAAAACCTTAATGTATTAGTTAAATGTGTAGTTTTGGTAGTTTAATCATTATGCAAAAATATAAACCTATATTTGGTTTATATATTCAGTCCACTTCAGGAGCCAGCAGTATAGCACAAAAAGCAGGAGTTGCTGCATTAGGCTTGGGCTATGCTGGTGGGGAGGCAATTTCCACCATGGTGAAAGCATTCAGGGAACGGCGAGATTTCTTGGTTAAAAGCTTTGGGGAACTGGAAGGTGTTAAGATATCAGAACCGCAGGTACCCCTCTTATTCGGCAATCCGTGCATGCACATCCCGTTTTCTTCAATGGTACAATATTTTAGCTCTTCAAGTAACGTACTTGCTTGCTTGCACTGCATTTGGTTTGCAGGGGGCTTTCTATCTCTTCATTGATTTTAGTTCTTTCTACAGAATAGAAGCTGAAGGTTTTGGTAAAATTGAAAATTCGGAATCACTCTGTCGATACTTCCTGGACAATGCTCAGGTATGCTACGTCAAATGTTGTTTCAGCTCTCTCTCTCTAAAGAGATAAGGGCTAGGCTGTGTTCCGTCGATATTTTTGAAAGTAATTGAATACTATGTTAAAGATTGAAGACTGCTTGTAATGATTGACAGGTTGCACTAGTCCCTGGAGATGCATTTGGGGACAATAGCTGCATTCGGATATCGTATGCAGCATCCGTCACTACCTTACAAGATGCTTTTGAGAGAATTAAGAAAGCACTCATCTCCCTCAGGCCTGCTGTCGCTGTTTAACACGTGAATTACCATCATTTAGCTTGTAACTGTAGCTTGTACTTTATATTTGGGATTTGAGTTTTCTTTAAATTCTGGGTTTTTCTTGTATGTTGTAAGCTTGAAATGAAATGCTAACTGCTTATTGTATGAAGCCTAATATTTCTTGCCAATTGAAATAAAAGTGATACAATGAAACCAACTTGTATAAATTTTGCATGTTCTTTTTGTTGCTATTCAGAGATGACCATCCAGCTCAGTTGGTAGAGCACAAGGTTCTTAACCTGAGGTCGTGGGATTCGATCCCACGGAGGGTATTTCATAATTCGGAGGTCTTCTACGGAAGTTGCTTTCAATTTGGTGTTGGGGACAACCTATTATCTTACCTCCTTTTATCTCATTACATATGGGAATAAGGGACAACTATTTTTTTTTGTTGCTATTCAGAAGAATTTGGGCCTTGAAAGGCTTTATCCTTGTAATTTCCCATTTTCTTTGGAATTCCCTTGACCCTTAGGTTTGTTTGGTTCAAGGAATGTTGTATTAACGAGGGAATGAAATCCTCATTCCCCCGTTTGGTTGGCCGGTAATCTCATTCTCGATAATATTTTATTAGCAATAGTCGATTTTTTAAGGTATATTACCGGGAATGTGATTACCCCTTCCTTTAGGTATTGTTGAATTACCGACATTTTAGACTAAAATACCCTTAATTTTTTTTCTTTCAAAAATATCATTTTTCTGTCATTAAATAATAAAAATTCTATTAAAGTTAAATTAAAAAAGTATCCTCAAACTGTTTTAGATTTACAAAAAAAATCTATAATTAAAATTTTAAATGAAGTTCAGGGGTTAAATAAAATTTTACCCTTTCATTAAACCTATTTATCTTTTTAATTTTTTTAAAAAATATATAAATTTTATGAATTTAAATTTTTAAATAAAATATATAAATTAATTATAGTAATATTATAGTAGAATTTGACTTGTTAAAAAATAAATATATAATAAGGTCAATTTGGTCAAATATACAATTCAATAATCTTTTATTCCTTTAATCAAACACGGTAATCTTACATTCCTGCTAAATAAACCAAACACAAAATACAACATTCTCAGTAATTCTATTCTCTAATAATCTTTTGTCCTCGCTGATAATTTTACATTCCGTGAACCAAACGCATTGCTTAATGAAATTCTCACCTTTCTTTTTTTTTTACTATAAGAACCCTTCTTCAAACCCTTTAATCACTTTCTTGCTAACCAAATAGAAGAGTGGGTATAAAAAACCAAAATAAGCCCTCAATGTTTATTAAAATGGTCATTTTGCCCCTTAATTTATTTTTTTGAAGCATTTTGGCCCCTAACATTTTAGTTTAGGACAAAAAAGTCCCTAACATTTGATGGAATAATCATTTTGTCTCATATTCCTTGTTTACTTGAGTCATTTTAGCACTCAACTTTTCATTTTAGGTTAAAAATGCCCCTATTTAAGAAATCAATGTTTTTTCACATGAAACAAGACCCTTTAAGTAGATTCAAACTCTTCATCCAACCATATATATATATTACCCAACCTTAGTGGCGGGTTTCCTTTCAGAAACCCTAATCAAACAGATAATTATTCATTCTATCCTTTCAAAATTAATATATATTAAGGGATGGATTAAGGGGATTGACGAGAGTTGTCGTCTCTTGAAAATTTTCTCGTCTCTTAAAAATTTTAAATTTTCGTATAATTTGAATATTTTTATTAATAGAGATCAAAATTACCATTTAATCACTATTTATAATGAACACGCCCTAATAGTTTAATTCTTCTGCCTATTCTAAGAGTCTCAATTACAATATAATCCAAAGCATCGCTTAAATAATTAAGTGGTCTGGTTGTGAAAAAAATGAAAGATCAATAGTTAACAAAATCTATCATTAATTTAAGTGATCTCATGTAATTCTGTAATTTATATGATTTCTATATATAAATTCATATGTTAAAAACATTTGATTTTTAATATATTTCGATGGCTAAAGGATAGTTTATATTTATAAATAGTTGATGTACAAACGTGACACATTGATCAATAATATAAAGAAGAGGATCACTAAAAATTATCCTTAAATCAGTTACTAATAACATGATAGTAAACAAATGGACATGGTAAAAAAAAAAAATTGGGAGGATAATGAATCCTTTTCTTGGAAGGCGGTCACGTCACGGTCATGGATGACTTTTCACATAAATTAACAACCTATACTTATATAATAGATTAAACCTAATCCCCGCCTAAAAGTTAAAATATATGTCATTGCGGCGATTTGATCAAACTGACATATATTTATCGAATATTTACCTTTTTAGCACCGTTTGATATATATTTCTCGAAGTTGTACCCTTTCGGCTGAGCTGGCGAAAGGCGCGTCCCCGGAGACGCGCTTTACCCGTGTTTTCGCTGAGTTGGATGGCACGTGTGGAAGGCGCATCCCCAGGGACGCACCTTCACGGGATTCTGATGACTCGACTGCCATATGTGGAAGGCGCATCCCCGAAGACGCGCCTTCCATTAAATGCCATAAATGCCCCCATCCGTTTTCCCTAACTACCCCTCCTCCTCCCCTATATAAACCCCCTCAACCCTCCCTCATTCTTCACACCAAAATCATATCTCCTCTCTTATATAACTCAAATTCTCCAACTATTTAAGTTTTAAATTTGTTATTAGTGGTAAGAAATTTATTTTATGTAGTTTTTTTAAATATTTATTATATTTATATAATATATTATGTAAATTATTTTATTAAAATAATATTTATATAATTATTATTTATTTAGAATTATTAATTTTTTTGTGCTAATTATATTATTTTGTCTACAGTTATAATGAAAATGAAATGCTGTTACGATTGGATATTGATCATATCTCCAGACATTTTAGCGATATGGTAATACTTTTTATAATTAATGTTAATATTTAAATTTATTTTTATTTTAAAGTTATTATGAATTTATATTAATTTTAATTTTTTATAATGTATATTATTTAGGATACTGATCGTATTTTAGAGACTTTTATTAAAAATCCACGTATACCGACACCAGAACGTATTTTGCCATATTTGGCTTCTGCCGGGTTCGGGTATATTGCAACAATTATTGGCGGTTGCAAACTCGAACCTGTCCTAATTTATGCACTGATTGAGAGGTGGAAGCCCGAGACACACACTTTTCACCTTCCATGTGGAGAGGCCACAATTACATTGGAGGATGTCTCTATACATCTGGGGCTTCACGTCGACGGAAATATGATGTGTGGTATGGCGGATGGTGATTGGCAGTCAATGTGCATTGATTATCTTGGAGCTGCTCCGCTAGAGTTTAATGGAGCTAAAATAGTTTTATTTTGGTTGAAAGCTAATTTTGAGGTTTTAAATGAAAATGCTTCAGAGGATCAAGCAAAGGCATGTGCTCGGGCATATATTCTACGAATAATTGGAGGAATATTGATGGCCAGTAAATCTCGCAACCAGGTGCATTGTATGTGGTTGCGGCATCTGATCGATTTTGATGAAGCTGGAAGATATAGTTGGGGCGCTGCAGTTTTGACATTTCTCTTTAGAGAAATGTGTCGGGCGACGAATTATAAGAAAACTGCTATCGGTGGATGTCTTCTGCTTCTACAATCATGGGCGTGGTTCCGCATGCATTTCTTATACCCGATCGTGAATGAACCATATGTATTCCCCTTATTGTTGAGGTAATTTTCGAACTAAATTTTGATTTAAATATTTTTAATTAAATAGGGTGATATTTAGTTTATATTATATTTCATAGGTGGTCGATGAAAAGAAAGAACCATAAAAGTATACCTACTGGGTTAGAGGAAATTCGTTTACTTATTGATACGAAAGCTGGGTCTGAGGTATGTTTTTAAATCTGTTTAATTATTAATATTTTAATTTAAAATGCTAGATATAATTAGAATATTTTATTTATTTGAATTGTATATTTATATTTCAGTTTCAGTGGATACCTTATGCGAGCGATGAAGTGAAGGCTTGCATCCCACCCCACCTTAGTGGGTCATTAGAGTTATGGATATCGGTTATACCTCTTATATGTTATGCTATTATTGAGTGGCATCCAGTTGATCGCGTGCTCCGTCAGTATGGTTGTACGCAATATATTCCTGGAGCACCTAGAAATTTAGACGACGTGCATAACATAGATAGACGAGGAAAGAAAGAGGTTAACTGGGTGGTGAGACACAGAGATTGGATTGCGCTTTGGGAGAACCGATATACACTGTTGGCCCCTCGACAATATTACGCTGAAACTGGTCATATGGTTACAGATAACTATATGGAATGGTTTAATGAAAATGGGAAGCCGTTTCTACTTTCGGCGGAAGCACGAGGGGTTAACATTCCTAGGCGCCGAGAAAGACGTCAACCGTCTCAATATCATCGTCCCCCGACGCGTGGACGGAGAGAAGGCGCTACCGGTTCTGCATCAGTCCCACCACAACATCCTTATCCATCGATGCCGCAGGGGTACATGCCCAGCCCTCCACTTCATATGCCAAGCCCACCAGTTCATATGCCATCTCCGCAGGGTTACATTCCGAGCCCGCAGGGTTACATTCCTAGCCCGCCAGGTTACATTCCGAGCTCGTAGGGTTACATTCCTAGCCCGCCAGGTTACATGCCTAGCCCGCATGGTTTTATACCATATGGAGGTGCATATACGACTATGTTTAATGATCCAGCATATGGTTCATATGCATCTTATTTAGCTGGTGGTGCTTCTCCGCAGACACCTCAATCTCCATATGGATCACAGACATCGATGCCAATGTTTCCACAGTTCCCGGGGAGCAGTGGGATTATTACTAGCACTCCTCCAGGGTCGTTATTTTATACAGGCCCTTTAGCCCCTTCAGCGTCATCTACACCAAATGAAGAAAATGCTGCTGATGATGATAGTGAAGATGAGGGGAATGAAGAACAAGTTCCACGAAGAAATCCTCCACGAAATAGACAACCACCGCCATGTGGAACTCATTCGAGAATACGACATCAGTGATCCAGTTGTATTTTAATGTT